GCTGCTACAGGCAGTTATTTCAAGATGCAGTAGTTTTCTGAAAGGTAGGATAATGAGTAGAACCATGAAACTGATATTAAAAGTGCCTCCAGGCAGTAACTAGGTGTTTTGCTACACATTATTTCATTTTGATCTTCAAAATATTCTATAAAGAAGATGTAATCTCCATTTTTCACCCATGAGGAAATTGAGCCTTAATGAGATTAAATGCTTTGCCTCAAATTATGCATCTCAGAACTTCTGACCAAATTCAGTAATCTTTATACTACACAACGTAGTTTCCTAAGCTCTAAAACTCTAAAATAGGAACACTGAAAGCAGAAAGATTATTTTGAGCCATGGATGGTTGCTCAGTGATTAGAGTGTAAACTCGTGGACCAAAGGTCTTAAATTCGATTCCTGGTCAAGGCCACTTACCTTGGTTTCAGGCTTGATCCCCAGCCCTGGACAGAGCACATGTGGGAGGCAACCAATCGATGGGTCTCTCTCACATCGATGTTTCTCTCTCTCCCCCCTACTACTTCCCCTCCACTCTCTTAAAAAAATATTTTAACAAATAATTTCTCCCACCCTTTATTATAACCCTAAAACTACTAACATGACTATCATAGGTTTGGGTGTTTTTTTTTTATCATAGTTTTGATAATTTTTTTATAATACATGGAAACTAATTTTGAAAACAGCTCACTTTCCTTGAAACTCCTTTACCTAGCCAAAACCTTCCTCTGTTCTTTTTCATAAGCTGTATTGAGGTACTTATTTAATCTATTCATATGTTTTACTTTGCTCTGATATTAGGTAAAGCCCATTTAAAATATATATCTTTCTTGATTTCAGAGAAGAAGGGAGAGTGAGATATAGAAACATTAATGATGAGAGGGCATCGTTGATCTGCCTCCTGCATGCCCCCTACTGAGGATCGAGCTCACAACCCAGGCATGTGCCCTTGACTGGAATCGAACCTGGGACCCTTTAGTCCCCAGGCCAATGCTCTATCCACGGAGCCAAACCAGCTAGGTCCAAAGCTCATTGTTTTAAGTGGCTTCCTATGTTGCCAAGTGAAATGATCAACTTCTGTAGTGTGTACTGCATCTGCCATGAATCAGCTTTAAAAACTACCACAATTACATTCCAAATATAAAAAGCCAAAATCACCTTATTTTTAATTCTAGGTCCAAGCCTTAATTAAAGTCACCAAATGATAGAGCCTTTCTAATCTCCTACTATTATCACAATACTAGAGGCCCAGTACATGAAATTTGTGCACTGGTAGGGGTCCCTAGGCCTTGCCGGTGATCAGGGCTGATTGGGGCCTTCTGGCTGCCAACTGGGGCCTCCTTTCCCCAGCTGCTGGCTTCTGGCTGGGGCCTTGCTTCATTTCACACCGTGCCCTGGTGGTCAGCACACATCATAGCAAGCAGTTGAATTCCTGGTCTCCTGGTTGAACTCCTGAGGGCACCCTTTGCATATTAGCCTTTTATATGTATAGATATATAGGTTCTCTGAAGGGTCAGAGTTTGCCAATGACCTAACAGTTATTCAGACTTTAATTTTAACCCAAGAGTGATCTATTGATCTGTGTTTTTGACTGTTTTAATTGGTTAATTTGTATTTATCTGATATTTGCTAACTTTTTATAGGGAGTTGTATTTATAACAGAAGAAGAGAAGAATAAAAAATATTAGTTTTAAAAGTGGCCTATGTGACTGCTTTTCTAAAAAGGTATTTAATGCTCTTAGTACTTTGGCTTATCTCTTTGAAATAAAGCTAATACACAGGATTGCCTTCACATTGTATTCTTTCTTTCTTGATTGATAATTGCATTGCCTAGAAATTGTTAATACCAGCTAAAACAACTTGGCTGCTCTATTCCTTTTTTGTCAAATTTTTCTCATGTTTCTGCCTTCCAAGGAGTCTCAGGTATTTATGAAGTAATGGAGTACCTAACAGGCCTAATTTTGTGGACATACTATGGTAAAATACAATTTTTGAGGTATTAGCTTCCCACCTCCTTCCTTTAAAAAAGAACCTTATAAGAAGTCATTTTCTGTCTATGGACATCTCAATTGTTTCTGTCATTTAAACAAGAAAGCTCTTTGGTTTACTTTTATTTTGGGCTTAATGATTATATAACCTAAACATTTCTCAATCTTGTCTCCTACAGGTAGACTGGGTACAATGTGATGGTGGCTGTGATGAGTGGTTTCATCAAGTTTGTGTGGGAGTATCTCCAGAAATGGCTGAAAATGAAGATTACATCTGTATAAACTGTGCAAAGAAGCAGGGGCCAGATAGCCCAGGTCAAGCACCAGCTCCTTCCTTCATAATGAGCTACAAACTACCGATGGAGGATCTTAAGGAGACCAGTTAGCATATACTAAGTTAGTTTGGGACATGGGGAAAATGGACCACATTAAGATCTTAGTCATAAAATTGAGTGGTTTAGGTCCACTCACAGTGTTGCTTCCAAAGATGAATGGCCTTCAGAGAAAGTCCTTGTAGTTGACTTCCTCTTTGCATGGACTGTGTGATCTACATTCTCTATCAACACGTCTGTGCAGAGAGTGTCTTCTTTGGTACAGCAGCCAATGTTTCAGTTCGTGTCTGTTGAGTATGGTTTGTTACATTAAGGCCAGACATTTGATTGACCTCCAGGGTGGTTGGTTGAGTTTAATACTTTGATGTGCCATCAGGGAATGCAAGATGTGTCTTATGGCCAGTTGGTATTAGTTAGAGGTTTGTCACCTAGAGGCAGCACCATCTGAGGTGCTGATTATGTGACTCTTCTTTGTTAGAATAGTTACAAAGGAGTCAGAGTACCACTTTCTCCACTATTACTTGGCATTCAGTGTCCTACAAATAAAACTAGGAGAGGAAAACGGCCAGAGTTAACTCCTGTTGGAAGTCAAGGGATAGTATCACAGTCTAGACCTCAGCTACGTGTGCTTGTTTGTACCAAGAAGAAGACCCCAAATGAGAGGCAGAGCACCTTATCTTCCCAAAGAGGATGTCTTGTAGTTCAGAAATCTGACTAGATTGTATTCCGAGAAGAAGAGCAAGGAACCTTTCAAGGCAAGGAACCTTTTTTTGCTTAGAAAAGTCTGTTGTCTCAGGTCTACATTTGAGAGCAGAGCAGGTCCATGGATTCAGGCTTCAGCAAAAGAAAAGAAGACAAGTTAATGTTTTACTGAGCCACAGAGATGCATGCGTTTGGGGGAAACCTTCATTCACAAGTATACTAGATACCACCAGGCTTCAGGCATGGCCATGAACAAGACCAGCGAATAACAACATTTGCCTTGCAGCCCCGATGCCAATGTCTGCTGTTTCCAATACTGACAATTTCTGATTGTGGTCCACACCAGATGCTGTTGAATAACACGATGGCTTCATCAGAGGATGTGGAATTGTAGGACCTCTGGGTGATGAAGTTGTTTTAGTAAATCCATTTTTTTAAAAAGAAAAAAGGACTTGTTTTTACTTTTTTCTAAATGTCTCTGACTACTGACTGTTCTAAAAATAGATTATTTTTTCTTTTTTAATATACATATATGAATATATAAATATATATATATATTTACTGTTACCAGCAGCATATGACAGAGTTCCTGTGTCAGAAATCCTTTTGGGGGCTTGCTTACTCTTTTTTGCTTTTTCATAAAGAAGTCCCATTCCTCCTTGTAGTACAAGGAGTTAGCACTTCCTTGTCCATCCTAGCCTAACCAGATCTTCCATCTTGTTTTTGTTCAAATAAATAATTATATTTCTTTTGTGCATTGGGACTTGTCCATGTCTTTTGGGGAAACTTGGTCTTACTGTATCTGTGATGGCTGTTTTGTTTTTGTATGTGTATGTTTGAAACTATGGTGCTGTGTCCTCTTCCTTTTGTGTTCGCTTTTTTTGTTGAGGTGTTAGGAAGCTGTATGGAAACTCTTATTAGAAGGGGACTAATTTTTTTTTAAAGAAAAACAAGCAAACTAACAATAGTGTTTTGTCTTTACTGTCCTGTGTCCCTTTAATTTGGTTTTAAAATCTTCTTTGACATAATCAGATTTACTTTTAAAGAGGGCAGGAGCAGGGTGGACCTAAAGAATAGTTTCTAGTCTCCTTTCCATTTTACCCCAATTTGTTTGAAAGAAATGTCTTTCAAACAGAAGTAAAATGTACTGTCCAGTCACAGTTTAAGTGGGTATGAGATTTAACTCAAAAGCTATCTTATTTAACACACACACACACACACACACACACACACACAAGCTTTTCTATAAAATCCAGTTTTTATAAATGTGTTCTCTGTTTGAGGCTACTTATTTTTGAGTCACATGTTGAATGTTTTGACCTGTTGAGAGATTCATAAGTGTTGCTGTGCATTTGTCTTGAGAATCTGATCTCAGGTGTGTGAATGATTTAAGATATCAGGGGATATTGCAAGATAACCAGTTTCATTTTGTCAAACTATATAAAGATATTAAGAATTTTTTCATTTGGTCAATGTTACAGAAGAAAGCACAGTATTTTTTGCCTTTTGGTCTTTGTAAAAGTAATCAGGGTTAAAAATTGAATACAATTTTATGTGATGGGGATCTTAGAACACATTTTAAAATACTCTATTTTTTCCTTCCTAGTCACCCATTAACTACTCAGCCCATGAGGATGCTAAGAAAGATAGCTAAGGTGCTTTGCTTCTTGGAGTATGATAAATGGATATAGGTGGTGGTTTAAGGAATGCTTTATTTTCTGAATATGGCAATTGCCTGCTAGAAATGTAGAGAAAAATGAAGGGCAGTCTCCAACCATGAATAAATAGCTTCCTCTTTTTCTTCTGACATTTTGAAACTTAGATATATCAATCTATACTGTAGGATGTTCTGTATTTGAAAATCACAGAGGATTTGGTCTGACTCTTGACCATAGATTTAGACCAAGGCTGAGAAGAACAAATGAAATTAGTTTGACGGGGGTGGGTGGGGGGGGGGTGTAAAGGGGGGGAGGAAGAGAGAGGGAGGAGATGAACATATACAAATCAATTCAGAATTAATGGACTTAAAGAAATGCTGATGCTCTAACACAAGACATCGTTTTCAATTAGAAGAAATTAATACTTACAACTTATCCCATTCTGTGGTATTGAAACATTTTTATTTTAAAACTTACAATATTTCTCCTTCTATCTCCTCAAAGTTGTAATTCCTCACTATAGGTGTTTTAACTTATATGTTAATCCTTTCAAAGATATTTCCTACTACCTTCATTATAAGCTACTTTATGAAAGTTTATAGAATGAAAAATGAAGAAATGCTAGGTTGCTGTAAATTAATAAAGAGACTAGAAATATAATATAAATTTATAATCCATGGGGGAGTCAGAAGAGCTTAGATGAAGGAACCAAGTTCTGTCTGCCTCAGGACCCCTTGCTTTTTATTAACACAAATTGTCCTAAGGCAAGGTAGATATACATATCAAAGGTTAAGATTTAGTATACAGAAGCATTGTCAGTTTCCTTTGGCTGTTCAGGTGTTTGGCTAGCAGGAGGCACTAATGTAGATTAAAATGCCCTCAGCATTTATTGTCTGGTAACATGAAATAAAATATATGCAAATCTTTAGGTCTGGGGAAATGCCCTTCAGCCATTCCAGTAGGTTAGTGTTTCCCAAACTTTTGACATGTGTACCCCTTCTATAATTTTCGTAACGCTGAGTACCCCTCGTACTCATGAGAACGTAGAATTAGGCGCAGCTAAGCACAGTGCAGTGCATATCCCCACCAACCTCTGGTGCAATGCGTACCCCCACCAAACTCTTCCCGTACCCCTGGGGGTATGCGTACCACATTTTGGGAAACACTGCAGTAGGTAATAACATGTATTCAGCCCTGTTGAATATAGAAGCCTCAAGGTTCCATCAACCTTTTGATGAAACTTCTTGTATTTATGACATGCTGGAATTAGCTTCCGGCACTAGGTCCTATCAATCTCAAAGGGTGAGTAATTAAAACTATGCAAACTGCTAAGTTTACAAGTACAACTAATATATCGGTAGTAGCTTTCTTGGGGGAACAAGGGGCATTTTGCTGTCACAAATGTGTATTTTACTGTGATAGTTACTGCAACAAAGCCATGTTGAGATGTAGATGCTAGGCTCTCTAAATTGCTGCAAACTAGCTTTTGCACTGCATGAGTCAAATTTGTGCCTCAATAAAATTACAAATAACTGTACATCATACTTGGAATAATTGAAAGGCAGCACACATTAAATCTGATTCAACATAATATACTTTAATCAAAACTCTAGCAAAGGCTAACAGATTTGTAACATTAGAACAAATTTTCCTATACTTCTATTCTTTGCTTTTGTCTTTAGCAAGTATCTAAGGAATTATTTGTTTTTCTAAATTTTTTTAGCTTGAGTGCAATTCAGTGCAGGTAAAAGAAACTTCCTGCTTGTTAATACTTTGATTCATAATTTGTGTGGGCATTAGCAAGTACTTAAAATAGGAGGATGGAAGGAAAAGCTCAGAAAGCCCTTCTATTTTAAAGGGTGAGATTATCTACTTTTTAAAGGAGAAAGTGACAAAAGTATATACTTACTTTTTTGATATGGATATGCCAACTGATATTGATAGCATGAGAAGGAAAGGATGAATGTTAATCTATTTTGGAATTGCAGTCTTCTCTTGGCTTGGATCATATCCAGTCACCACTATGCAATGAATGATGTGCACTAGGAAAGATTAGGATGGATTTTTAAAGATGTATCTTACTTATAATTACCTTTGCAACAGTCAAAAGATGTCTAAATAGGAATGTGTTCTGTAAACCTCAAGACCCTCTGTTGGTTATTCCCGTACATATTTATTTATTTGCTAGTGAGACACTTAAATATAATATGGATTCTTATTTGCCAGGATTTTTGGTGGTGCCTTATGAAAAGTATAACTTGATTTCTTGTTTTTTGAGCATGTTTTGCATTTTTTGTTTTCTGAAAGAATATTACATATGATTATTTGCATTACATCCAAAAAATAAAGAACATTTTTATGTGTGCTCAGGTTCCCCCCTATTTTGTCATTTACATTGGTGGCAGCTCTGGTAACTGAGTAAAGGTAAATTTTGGCAGTGAGTTATTAGTGATCCTGCGGAATACTAGCAAGTATATGAGAGCCACTTTTAATCTGTGCCAAAGCAGTTTCTAATATTGTATTTGCTCTCTATAAAATAAAGAGCTGGCATTAAAATAATTTGATCAGTAGTGTGTTTAACCTATTGCATTGCTGAGAATAGTGTTCTCAAAAAGTATGAAATTAGAAAAGTAATTCCTGAAAATTTCACCCATTTTCAGCAAGATTCTAGTGATGCCCAACAGATACTTCCCCACCTTTGATTCTTGAGCAATTTATTCATTTGCAACAAACCAGTAATTTCGAAAATGAAATATAGTTGACCACTGAACAACACGGGTTTGAACTATACAGGTTCACTTATACACAGATTTTTTTTCAAGAAGTATTATAATGTATTTTCCTTACATTTTCTTAATTATTTCTTTCCTCTAGCTTGCTTTATTGTAAGAATATAGTATATGCTATATATCACCCAGAGTACAAGTGGAACCTCAGTTCTCAAACTTAATTTGTTTCAAAAGACTTTATGAAGCAATTTGTATTTTTAATACTCTTTTTTTATTGTCTTCAGAGAGAGGAAGGGAGAGGGAGAGAGACAAACTCATCAGCTGCCTCCTGCACATTACTGGGGATCGACCCTTCAACCTGGGCATTTGCCCTGACAGAATCAAATAGTGACCTCCTGGTTCATGGGTCGACTCAACCACTAAGAACAATATAAAGAATACAGCCAAATATTATATTGTGAATAAACTTAAGAGTGATTTTTAGAACTTAATATTTCCATATAATAATTCCATGAAATTACTAGACAAGGATATTTCTTTAACCTTGTCTTTGGAGCTAGATGATACGTATATCTTGTTAATGGGAAAGAAAGGCATCCCCATGAGAAGCTTTTAAGGATGGCTTGTGATGCTGGCTGAAAGCTTGTATTAAGGAACCCTGATGAGTTAGTTGTAAGGGACATAGGAAAGAAGTCAGAATTTCTGTAGTAAAAAATTAAACAGGAGGAACCAAGATAGTGGCATAGATAAACACCTGAACTTGTTGCCTTGCACAACCACATCAAAACTACATCAAAAAGACAAAACAGACATCATCCAGAACCACGGGAAGGTTTGCTTAATTTCTGATTGGTCCTTTTTCATATCCTTAAGGGTCTCACTAAATTTCTCAAAGTGGAAATAATACAACTAGAAGGAAAGAGAAAAGCACACTTGAGACTGGGAGGGTATGGAGGTGCTCGTGGAAAAGGGCTGGCAACTGAGTATGCTGTTGTCTTTTTCGATCAGGAGGGAGATACAAGCTCCCGACAGCTCTGAACTCCAGTCCTGGGTGAGACTGGTGACCCAGACTCATACAGGGAGAAACTGGACTGTCTGGCATCGTGCTGGAACAGGAGGGCAGATTTTTCTCAGAGGTGCTTGCAGCGATCATTGTTCCTGCATGGTGCTGTGGAACACAGTGACCCAGGGACCTCTTCAGGGCAAGGCTAACAGCCATTGCTGTTTGTTCCGCCCTTGTGATTCCCTGAGGACCCCTCCCCGCCCGATTTATAACCCCAACCAATCTGTGCACAGAGGCTTTTGCATATGAAGGGCCTGGCCTTTTGCAGTCTAAAACCTAACAAACTGCAGCTGGATCAGAGGGCCCAAGAGCCTCCAAAAGAAAGCCCAAGGCTGGACAGCATCTTGAATTGCTTCACAGCTGGGCTTCATCCGGGCACCTCCAAACCCTAAGAGAAGGAATCTGCAGATTTCTCTGTAGTTCCTGCTGGGTGGCCTCAGGCAGTGGCTGACTGCACCTCCTTGGAGATCCAAGAGCCAGTGTACCCAGTGGTCAGAATGAGATCATCCAGATTATGACTCTTCACATCTATAAGAGACACACTCAGGGGGGCAGACTCAGTGAGTGCCAAAGCCCCAACGAAGCAAGTCTTGCCCCATAAGGGTGTCTTCAGCACAAAAGTTCTATCATAGACACAACTGATCTTCACAGCCAATTAGCCTGGAGATCAATTTCTCCCAGTGATAGCAAGAGCAATTAAGGCTTAACTACAACAAGACAGTGCAAACTACTGGATATGGAGTTCAAAACCCTGGTTATAAGGTTACTCAAGAATCTCCTAGAAACCTTTGAGAAATTTAGTGAGTCCCCCAGGATATGAAAAAGGACCAATAGGATCCCAAGAATCAAGTCAAAGATTTGAAATATGAACAACAACAACAACAACAACAAAAAAAAAAAAAAAAAAAAAAAAAAAAAACACCAACCAAAAAAGAAAAAAGAATCCAAAAAGATGAAGATAATGTAAGGAGCCTCTGGTACAACTTCAAGTGTACCAACATCCAAATTATGGGGGTGCCAGAAGAGAGAAAGATACTGAAAACCTATTTAAAGAAATAATGACAGAAAACTTCTACCTGGTGAAAGAAATAGACTTACAACTCCAGAAAGTACAGAGAATCCCAAACAAAAGGAATCTAAAGAGGACCACACTAAGACACATCATAATTAAAAAGCCAAGAACAAAAGACAAAGAATCTTAAAAGCAGCAAGAGAAAAACAGTTACCTACAAGGGAGTACCCATATAACTATCAGCTGAACCCTTTGTACATCATAAGCATCTATAGATGCAAGTGGCAGACCTTCCCCACATGCCATGCATGTCCTAGCTGCAAACCTCGCATATCAACTCTGGTCACCTAATTTTTTTTTTTAAATCAATCTTTATTGTTCATATTATTACACAGGTTCCTCGTTTCTTCCCCCCTCCACCAGGTTCCCACCCCACCCTCTGCCCCCTCATCCTCATCCATTGGTGCACAGTTTATGTTCAGTCTCTTCCTTCCTCCCTTTCCCCGATAGTAAATCCCTTTTCAGATAGCAAATCTGTTACTTAGCATTTTCTCATATCAATAATACCTCCACATGCCCAATGATACACTTCACACAAAAGACATTTCCTAATAGGACAACCAGCCTCATCCAGGCCCCACCCAAGGCACTCACAGATCAACACCCCAGGACTATACTAACTCAACACATCCAGATATAAGCCTTCATCACTTGATTCAGCAGACCCTCAAGTTCCCGCAAAAGTTTCCAGCCATGTCTGAGAGGCAGCCGTGGGGCAGGGGCAGGTGAGGAGCGAGCTGTTTTGGGCCAGGCTGCTCCGGGCCTGGCCTCTGTTGCTCTGGTTTGTTCCACAACCAGCTGCTCCGTGTCTGGTCACTGCCGCTCCTGACCCAGTTGCTCTGGACTTGGCTGTTGCTGCTACAGGCCTGGCCACACTCGACTCGGCTGCTCTGGGCCCAATTGCTCCGGGCCCGGCCGCTCCGGGCCTGGCTGCTCCCAGCCTGACAGCCGCTTCTCCGGGTCTGGTCACCTAACTTTAAAATCAGACTTGTTAGTGACATCTCTGGGTTTGTGAAGAAAATTATGGTAACTTAAATTCGTAAATATTCCAGTGCATAAGGAAGAAATTCCAATATTGGTAAATAGGGCTGCCACTTGGAGGTGTGAGAGATAAACACTGTGACACGAGATTTGTGTTATCACGAATTTCATGCCTAAAATAGTAAACATGGTGTGCATTCATTATTTTTTTTTACAGATTTTGTCTTTGGAGCATCAACAAAATTTAGTGTTTTTGAGGCTTTTCGTGTCAATGGTTTATTTTTATTTTCTGCTCACTTTTGTTGATATTGCCATGGAATTGAAAATTATTATTTTATTATTGAATTTATCATTGTAATCCTATCTAGTAAAAGAGAAACATGCAAATTGACCATACCTCTCTGCTATGTGCACTAGCTATGCCCACCAGCCAATCAGGAGTGCACACAAATTAACCCAACAAATATGGCAGTGGCCACAGAGCTGGAGCAAGCAGGAGGCTTGGGTTTCCCCTGGCGATGGAGGAAGTCAAGCTTTCTGCCTGCCCTGGCCAGCCCTGGCCTATGCTCAAGACTATAAAGTTTCAATTATAGAATATAAGTCCCAACAAAAATGGCAGCAGCCACAGAGCTGGAGAGAGCAGGAGGCTTGGGTTGCCCCTGGCGATGGAGGAAGCCAGGCTTCCCACCTACCCTGGCCAGCCTTGACCTCTGATCAAGGCTACAAAGTTTCAATTATAGAAGATAAATAAATCACAGATACCAGGGCCTCTGCTTGGGTCACTGGGGTGTGTGGCTAGCCTGCACACCACCATAGGTTTTTCACCCAGGCTGCCCCATGCCCTAGAGCACATGTGTCAAACACAAGGCCCGGCGGGCCAAATCCGTCCCGCCAGGCCTTGCAATGTGGCCCGCACCACGCTGTCATCACTGCACTCCGAAGCGTTTCCATCACAATGACAGTTTATGACTGTTCAGTAAACCATTCGGCCCGCGATTTAGGCTGGATTTTAGATTTTGGCCCCTTCTCTGATTGAGTTCGACACCCCTACCCTAGAGGAACTCCCACCCTGATCTAGGACACCCTTCAGAGCAAAGCAGCTGGCTTCCACCCATGCACCAGGCTTCTATCTAATAAAAATAATATTCAAATTGACCATCACTGCAACACACAAGATGGGTGCCCCCATTTGGACATAAGATGGCCAGCAGAAGAGGGCAGTTGGGAGGGACCAGGCCTGCAGGGGAGGGCATTTAGGGGCAATCAGGCTGCCAGGCAGAAGTGGTTAGGGGCAATCAGGAAGGCAGGCAGGCAAGCAGTTGGGGGCCAGAAGTCCTCAATTGTGAGAGGGATGTCTGACTGCCTGGTTAGGCCTGATCCTGGACAGTCGAACATCCTTGAAGGGGTCCCAGATTGGGAGAGGGTGCAGGCTGGGCTGAGGGACACATCCCCCGTGCATGAATTTCATGCACCAGGCCTGTAGTATATTATATTGCACAAATAAAATTCAGTCCCCATAAATGACATCAGATGAAGAAATAATTGAGCCAAGCACCTCGCAAGAAGATGACATCCTATCAAAAACAAAAGCAACTATTGCAATATAAACCATGTAACCCTACAACATTAAGAACTAGAAAGAGAACACAAGAAAAGCCCAGAGTAAGTAGAAGGAAGCAAAAATAAAGATTAGAGCAGAAATAAATAACATAGA